GGCGGAGGCGGCGCGGCGAGAGCTGCGGGAGGTCGTGAGACCCCTGAGGGAGCCCGGCTACCGGGAGGCTCTGCAGAGGAAGGCCGAGAGGGCGAGGAAGAGGAGGCTGCGCCTGCAGCGGAGGAAGCAAGAAGCCAAGGCGGCCAAGGAGGAGGAGAAGGCCCGGGCCGCCGAGCGGGAGGCCAAGATCGACCAGTGGAGGGCCAAGTGCATCCAGGAGGTGGAGGAGAAGAACCGAGTACGGCTCCGAGCGGCCTGGTCCTGCTTGCCCCGGCCACAGCGAGGCCTCCCGGGGGCTCCTGTGTGTCCCTCAGGACAGCGTGGCAGAGCCGGGGGAGACCCACCGGTGACGGGCTCGTGGTGGGCTGTGCCTGTCCAGCACCTGGCTTTGGCCCCCGCGGTTCAGTAGGAGCCGCCTGGGTGCTGTGTGGATGCGGTGTGCTTGGAGACGCGCTGTTTCCAAGGCCTGCAGCCCTGCTTCTTCCTTAAAAGCCTTGGTGGGCATCTCAGCTTGGCCACGCTCACGTCCTGAGGCCCTAACAGTTGGGGTTTAAGCGGTTTCTGAACTCCTGGTTGCGTGTGGAGGTCTTTCTCTCCGGTCCCAAGCTGTCAACCTGCCCCACGCCGCTTGTGGCTGCCCTGCGGTGGTCAGCGCCGTTTCAGTAACCACAAGCCTTGCCTGCTGGCTGCATCCTTGTGAAGCTTGTTCACAAGCTTTCTGGTCTCACCAGGAAGTAAAACAGCTCCAAAGCAAAAAAAAAAAACAACCCTCAAATTAGGGTTTTAGGCACCTTTGTATTGGCTGTTGGCTAAAGAGCTACTGCTGGTGCTAGGTCTGCTGCTGGGACGGTACAGAGCAGCTGTTGGGAAAGGTTTTGTGTTCAGGCTGCGGCGTGTGAACGGTCTTTGATTGCTGAGCTGTAGAATCGGGATGGTTTATGTTTATTGTTCCTGTTTTTCCTGACTTTCTATGGTTAAAAGTTAGCAGGCTTTATGAATTCATTAGTCATTTGGCCAGATTTCTGGTTTGCTCAGCCTTCTTTTCTTGTTTCCTGAAGTCTGTCGCGGTTTAGCTTTTATATAAAACCTCAGGGTTGGTTGGTTGACTTACCTTGCTATGGCCGTGTTACTGGGAAGTTATTCTGATCTCCGGTGCTTTGCTAATCTTCTTGAAAGTACCATTTCCTTCTTGTCTACGTGGGATATTTCACACATCGTGTCTGTTGGTTTTGTCTTTGTTTCTTTCGCAGGAACGAGAACTTAAGGCTGCTGCAGACAGTGTCTTGTCTGAAGTACGGAAGAAACAAGCAGACACCAAGCGGATGGTGGACATCCTGCGTGCGTTAGAAAAGCTTCGGAAACTGAGAAAAGAGGCCGCTGGCAGGAAAGGTTAATTACGAGGTTTTTACCAAACTTTTTTAATTGTCCACACAGGACATAAGGTGATGTGTGCGCCCTGTGCTGACTAGCAAGGTTCTTTATTAGTAATTTTGTTAGGTTGTTATGCAAGAATTGCTATAAAACTATACAGTGACTGTGTCCCTACGTTTCCAAGCTCTTTCTTGACAGAAGAATTATTGCAGTGAGATGGTTGTTACCAAGGTTAAGCTCACCCTCGTATGAGATTTTGCCAGCTCCGCTCTCAAGTCTGATCACAGAGCCCCTTCTGAACCTGAAAATTTAAAATGAATTCTCTTTCTGTTTAGGTGTCTGTCCACCTCCCTCTGCAGACGAAGCATTTGAAAATCAAGTGGAGAGTCTCAAAACGTTGCTCAAAAATCGCACGGAGCTGTATGAAGCTGAGGAGAGAGCGTTAAGAGTTATGTTGGAGGGAGAACAGGAGGAGGAAAGGAAGAGAGAAATGGAAAAGAAACAGAAGAAGGAAAGGGAAAAACTACTACAGCAGAAACTTGAGATCGATTCCAAGCTGTTTGGGGATCCAGGTGAGTTCTGCATGCCACACTTAGCCCACCCCCACCTCACCGTCACGGGGTTTAAAATGCAGGCACAAAAAGAGTTGAGAAAGAAATTATCCACTGGAGTAATGTATGGTCTGAGGAAAAGATGGGATACACGTAGTGTGCTGTTAACACACGTGCTGTAAGACGAGCTGTTGAGCTCCTCAGCGTAGACTGCGGTGTATCTCCAGCCGATTTCATCGTGTTTTGCAAGAGGTTGTAGATTGAGCTGAAGTGAGAATAAACAGAATAGATTGAAGACTTCCAGCCCCCAGCAGGTGCTTTAGTCTGGTGATTTGGTAAGTGTGACTCGTGTAATCTGTAAAGACTCGGCGTCCATATGTTCCCCTCGTTGAGTGGATGGAGGCAGGAAAAGTTTTGCTGGTCTTGACGTGCCTCTGCCAGCTCTGGTGAGGATGAGGAGACGTGCGAAACGCATCAATAGTCCTTAATCTAATTCCACAGGGAAGTGATTTAAAGTTGTAGCTGGGCAGCAGCAAAGAGTTGGCAAATTTGGGGCTTCTAAGATGCACTAGAATCGAAGGTCTTTCTGTTTTGTTGAACAGTTTCTACGTTTGTGTTTTAACAGATGAATTTCCTCTAGCCCACCTCTTGCAGCCCTTCAGAGAGTATTACTTACAAGCTGAGCATTCTGTCGCAGCTCTAATCCAGATCAGGTAAAACCAAACAAAGTCTTTATGTTATTATCAAAGATGACGGGTATTGTTTGTTGAGATTGTGAAATTATGGTCCCTTTTGGTTCGTTAACTTCCAAACATGGTTGTGCAGTGAATTGTCCTGGTTTTTTTCAGCTAAGGATCAAGCTTCTCGCTTGGCAGAGTTGTACCCAACAGGTGCCGGTGTGAGGCAGAGTGCACTTCCATGCATAACCATTCCCTTTAATAGGATAACACATACAATTTTCACGTTTGTGTTTTGAAAACACAAGTTTCAGAGTACAATTTACAGTGTTTTGTGTATTAATCAGTATGGAAAAATACCTGTGTGGGTATCTAATAGATCTTGTGACCAAACTCATACCAGGTCTCCACTCAAACAACCCTTTCTCTGTTAAAGGCACGAATGGGATCAGTACTTGGTGCCAGCTGATCACCCTGAAGGAAGCTGCATCCCTCCAGGATGGGTTCTTCCGAGTCTCCCCACAAGTGACACTTGGGCCACTGCTGTCAGATAATTTAGTAATAAATTACTTTAATGTTGGGGGAATAATTGTGTGTGTGGATACGAGGGGGTCCGGAGAGGAACTCCTCCTGTGTTTCGGTAGCCGGGTACGGGGGTGTCTCGCAGAAAGGCGTAAGGGCTGGTTTGGCCGTCTGGCTCTGCGGGGAAATACCTGAGCGAGCCCGGAGCTGCTCGGCCTCTTGTGGCGCGGCGTCGCCGTCCCGCTGCGAGTTTTTGTTAACGAATCTCAATCCTAATAAAGAAACGTTGCTGACGAGGGTATTGGTGCCAGTATTAACATGCTATTTTTAGTGGCTTTCATCTTTTTAAGCTTAAATCCAGATGATGACATCTCCAGAAATAAACAAGTTTAAAAGAAAAAAAAAAGGAGATCATGAGTAAACATGTTTTTCTTCTTAAGTGAAGCATGTCAGGCATCACTGTCAAAATAGTTCCTGGGTTTTGTGCGCAGCAACGGACGTATTACAAGTTTGAACGAGTTCTGAAGTACAAACAAGACAGCGTTTTTCAGGGTGGATTAAAGCCGCTGTTGACGTTTTACTTTGGTGGACTAGAACTGGTCCCACAACATGGAAAAAATTCCTGGTTGTGGTGAAATAGGTCAGACAACCCTGTGAATATATATCAATTTGATGAATAAGCCCGCTGGAAAAAACCAATAAAATCTGAAGTCTGACCTACTGTAACTGGGTTTGCCTATATAGCTATTTTTGTGCAGGGACAGGTCACGTCTATAATACTTGGTTAAAAACCACAAGTCTTATTTTGTAAGTTGGTTTTTGTACAGAATAAATAGAGAAAAATGGATTATTTTTTTCTTGTTTGAAGCGTTTTTACTCCGAGGGAGAGATTTGTTTTAGTACTTGGCATCAAATACGACTCCAGTGTGGCGAGAATTCCTGGCAAAAGGTTTGTGCGAAGGAACTTCTCCCTCCTACAAGGTGACTGATTTCAAAGCTTTCTGTATTCTGGACAGTTTTCCTGGAACAGCCGTGGGCCTGATGGGTTTGGGGCTTTGCTGGTCTAGGCAGGTTGTCGTGGCATCTTTCCAGAGCTGCAGTCCTTATTCTTGCTTAGCCCTGTCGTGGGGGAATGGATTTAATCTCCAATTCTTTAGCTCTTTGCATGGCAACATGGTGTAATCCATGGAGGAGGCACGATGTAATTGCCTAAATTCAACACTTGGGCCTTACGTGTAATGTCAGTAGTTCCTTGGCTGAAGCTTTGCACTGGTTTTGGTTAGTAAGGGCACCCAAACTGATAGTTTTTGATAGAATTAATCTGGGTGCAGAAGTTTGCAGTTCTCGCTCACGTGTCCATCGCCTGCCTCAGCACCCCAAAACACAGGTTGCTGGGAAGCCCTCTGGAGGTGGGTGTCTGGTTGGCCTGGCCCTACATCCTCCCGTCCCTGCTGTCCCTTCTAGCAGCTCGTGACTGCGAGACCTGTGGCTGGGTCCGATCCCGGGGAGTCTCATGACGAAAAACCCCAACGTTCAAGCAGCTAAAACCAGACAGAACATACGCAGCTCGGGGAGCTCAGTGACCGGAGGATGCTCTGCGTAAATGATTGGGCTCCTCATCCCCTCGGCACGGCTGGTGGGACAGACTGGCCGCTTAAGCTGCGATAATCTCCAAACTGCCCAAGTCAGGTGCTTGTCTGACGCTGCGAAAATGTAAAGCCCCGAGCAGTAGATAAGCAGGCAGCGTGGGAGCAGCCCTGTTCTCCCTGCCCTGCGAGAGGAGCTCCATGATTGCCTCTGACGGTAGGAGCAACTTCATATTAATAACAATAGGACTCGAAAATGCCAGCGGGTGATGTACCCTTAGGTCTCTGTCAATCCCTCAGGCTTTCTGTGTGCCGCATATTTGCTCTGGTCTAATGGCATCTGCGTTAAAATGTGTTTTGTCTTTGTAGTGAGGAAAATGCTGAAGCCGCAGATGGAAGAGGAATGTTTAAAATCTTGACTCATAAAATACATGGAGATGGGGTCTTAATTCTTAAAAAAACCTTGTGTTTTCCTGTTTAAGACTCAAGTTAGACAAATTTGAATATACTCTTTCCTACTGTTTTTAAGTATTAAACAATTACGATAGCCCAGGAGAAAAGAGGGGTTGGCTGTGAGTTTCTGAGGCTCAGTTGCATCCCACTCGGTCCCTGGGCGCAGTGCAGGTCAGGTCTCTCACGCTTTTAAGGCACGTCCTCTTCCTGACACGGATTTCTTTGTGTGCCAGCCTGTATCTCTGATGGGGGAGCGGGCAGGGCTGGCGTGAAGCAGGTGAGGTCAGAATCCTTGTAGGAGTTGCTTTCTGGTGTAAGTTGGTGTTTACGACTGACCCTCTTTTACCCTTGTCTGGTAGCGGTTTCGTTGTCATCGCTCCTCACCCCAACGTGCTGCTTTTTTTCTGGTGGTTTTGGGAATGAACACTGGTGGGAGCCTTTCTCAGCAGATTTATGTATTTATGCAGTGAAATAAAGTGAGATACGGTACCATAATCTCTCTGTATTTTCTTCGTCGTGGCTTCACTACCCACCTCCATCCCTTAAAGTGGCATTTAAAGCCAAATAAAGCCTTTCTAGGTGACGGACGACAAGACGCTCCTTTCCTGTGCACCTCGTACCGCTCCGCTTTCGGGAAGAGCTGATTTAGGGCGTAAGCTGCGGGGAGGGTCCGGCCCTCCCGCAGGCAGGGGCGGCGTGGCCGCGCGGAGGAGTTGGAGGAAGCTGGGGGAAGGTGGCTTCACCTCCAGACGCTCTCGTGCGTTGTCTGTGTCGGCACTGACGTGGATTGTAACCGAGGCTGAGCCCTCTTAGGCTGGGGAGCAGATGGCTTGGCTCCGTGCAGGCTCCCCCCACGTTGCCTGGGTGGCGTGTGAGCAGCAGGACACGTGCGGGAGCCACGGAGCTGGTTAGTGGCTCTGCCTGCGCGACAGCCCCGGGTATTAGAGGCTCCTGGTGCAAGCAGGTGAGCGACAGCTCTTGTAGATCAGAGCAACTGCGTTGAACCGAGCAGTTGTGCGTGTCGCTCTTCGTTTGTGGCCTGGAAGCAGTCTGTCAGTCCTTTGCTGACATAAGAAACCACCTTGAGTGCCATTTCCCATCATAGACCCTAATTTTTGCATGGAACAGGCAACTTCTTCTTTCATCTGCTTCTTTTTTGCGTGTGCGGAGTGTTTCTCCTCGTTGTCATAGAAGCCATTGCTTTTTAAAGGGAAAAAATTAGGGGTGTCACACCGAGTATTTACTGTTTGTCTTGAGGATGACTGCTGAGGACTTTGGGATGAACAGGCATGGGCTGCAGGTACCAGAATGCGGTGGAAGACCGACCAGCATCAGCTCTTGCCAGCTGACAGTATATAAAGGAGATTATTTTGCACGCTGCCATCGCTGGGAAGCTGGGGACTCGAGGCTTCACGCAGCAAGTAGTGGCTTTTTCCTAAATTGAGACGTTTATACAGAGCTGATGGCTACGCTGTTGCAGGAATATTTTCCATACCACCATTCCCAGTTCATCAGAAATTTTTCTTTTCCCCCCTGCTATTCCCGATCTCAAAAACATCACCTCATTTTAAATGAAAGGATGGTTCTTAAAACTAATCTGGCTTAAAATGGCTCGTTTGACATCCGTCTAACCCTGAAGCTTGGCTGATGCACCAGCCTCCTTGTCTGGCTCTCGGTGAGCTGCTGCAGCGCTGGAGGGGATGCCCTTGCCCCGGCTCCCCCGGGCTGCTCCGTGTGATGGCTCAGCAGCACGTGGCCACACGCACGAGCTCCGTCACCTCTGAGCACCTCTGGGGGCTCTTGGGTCACGCAGAGAGAGGGGAGACCTGCGAGGTGTCCTCCTTGGCTGCGGTGTCTGCCTCTGTAACTGGAAAAATTGCTCAGTCTCCCCAGTTTGGGAAAGGGAGCATGCGATGGGCAGCGGAGGGAGAGGCAGGAGGAAGGATGGGAAGCAGCAAGGCATGCACAGAGGTGGAAACGGAGGAGAAAAACTCTCAGGATCTCTGCCAAAGGAAGCTGTAAGCTTGGTCAGGTCCTGCTGGCTCAAGCTCAGAATAGCAAAGGTTGGTTCAGACAAATCTTCCCAGTATCAGGAATTAAGATTTTGAAATCTGGGCATTGCACACAGTGGTTTTTACTCGGCTGGCAGCATCCCTAAGGGCTGCGTCCCTTGAAATAACTCCTCTTTCTCTCCTTCCACCCAACTTAAAAGTTGCCAGCCCTGCCTTTTACAGTTTCATTTCGTCCCTTCCTCCAGCAGCAAGAAATCAGGCAGCAGCGATGAGCTACCTGGATGAAGTTCCCTTCCGGACGGCCAGGAGCCTTGACGGGGACTCAGGGGGAGAAAAGGCTTCCTAAGGGCTGCGTCCCTTGAAATAACTCCTCTTTCTCTCCTTCCACCCAACTTAAAAGTTGCCAGCCCTGCCTTTTACAGTTTCATTTCGTCCCTTCCTCCAGCAGCAAGAAATCAGGCAGCAGCGATGAGCTACCTGGATGAAGTTCCCTTCCGGACGGCCAGGAGCCTTGACGGGGACTCAGGGGGAGAAAAGGCTTTAATCACCACCCCGGCCATCGAGCTGCCCGACTGCGCCGACATCCTCATGAGCACCGTGGTGAGTCGCCACCGCCCGCGCCCGGATTCGCTTCTAGGGGGTGCTCCAAGGGCTGTCAGCGGTGTTTGGCTTTTCTTGGGAAAGAAGGGAAGGGAAACCTCGGAACTGATCACCTCTTAATTGGCTGGTTTGCAGGAGTGGGAGGAGGTGAGGATGATTTGTGGAGGGTGGGGGCGAGGAAGGGGTAGGTTTGGGGTTGGGTTTGTTTAATCCCATTCAGGCAGGCGGGTTGGGTCTTTCTGGGATAGGAGAGTGAGCTTCAGGCTCTGCTCCGGGATTGCTTTCTACTCTGGAGTCATCACCATCTCATTTATTAGCAATATTTGTTAATAAATCTAACAGAGATGTAAGCAGGCAACACTACCTGTGCTTGCAACATATATATATATATATGTATATAAAAAATAAGTGTGTGTGTGTGTGTATATATATATATAAAAAAATATCCTGTGGTTCTTTGTGATCTTCCACATTGCTCAGTCCTAAATTGCTTTCGAATCTCCACCTGTTGCTGTAACAGCTTTGTCACCAATTTTAAGCCCCAGCACAGCGATTCGAGGGAGCCGTCTGCGCTCTGGAAGGCACGGAGCTGGCTCTCCGGGCTTAGGGGTAGCGCTAGCGCAGCTCCAGACAGTTTCAGGAATACTTTGCGTGTTTAGCCTTGAGTAGTCTCACCCGGAGATGGGGTCAAGGCATTTCACGGGGGGATGGTGATCTGGGCGCTCCCAAACAGCCGCCGCTCGCTCCTGGTGATGGGTGAACCAGCGGTAAACCCCCACATCTGGCTTTTCGCTAGCTCAGCCTTGCTCATCCCTCCCCCCCTAAAACGACACATCCCAAATCCACAGGACGTGTTTAACACAAAGAGTCACCGTGTTGTTCATTTTAAGCAATTTCTCCTAAGGAAGCTTTAATTGCCACATTTTTTGCCACCCCTGTAAAGGCAGGTGATGGTCTGCATCCCTGTGGACCAGCTGAGGTGGTCCACCACCCTGTCCTGTCCCAAGAAACCCCCAGCCCAGGGTTTATTCCCATCGGTGCTCCCCACCAAGGCCGAGCGATTGCCCTGGTGGTCTGGGCTGATCCCTGTTGAAGCACGTGGTGGTGTTTTCCTCGGGGAGGCTGGTTTAGGTCCACGGCTGACAAGGGAGCAGTAAAAACAGCATTCCTGGGCTGTGAATGTACTTGCCTGCCCGTCTGGAGAAAACCTTGTTTGGAGAGCTCTGGGACGGGCAAGGCTTGTTTGTTCCAGGAAAACCCTCAGATTTCAGTCTCAAACACACTTGTATTTTAAGCCGGACTACGTGGAAATGACGACTCTGTTCTGGGACTCGCCGAGCCCCAGGCGCCACCGGAGACTCCCGCGCCTGGTCCTGCCTCTGCCCAAGGTGGCATCTCCCCCCTTGGTGGCTCCCGAGGCCCCGTGCTCAAGGTGGCTCTGCCAGATGCCACTAACGGGTGCTTGTCCCCTTCCACAGCAGCCAAACTGACGCAAAACCACCTCTGAGCATAAAACACCTGTCAAAAAATTGTAGATACAGCTCCAAATCGTAGTCACTTCATAGCCAGGGGTTTTTTCCAAGTATAAATTTGGGTATTCCCTGTAGGGATGAGGCAGTGCCCGATCCTACAGCCCTCATGCCCACAGCCAGCCCTGATGCTTGGGGAAATGGGAGCCAACAGGGGAAGGACGCAGCCCTTAAGGTGCCCTCGTGAAGCACGTGGTTTGCTCCGTGGTCTGGTTTCGGGTGCCCTCACCAGCTGCTTCTCGCTCTTCC